TTAAAATCATAGTGTTTATCGTACAAATAGAGCATGAATTTCTTCTTCGAGCTCTAGAACTAGATTTGATATTGTCCGATCCTAGGRGGACAGGAAGCCCGACAAAAGGGTAATACTGAGATGAGATTTGAGAGTGGAGAGTTGAGGGAAGTAGTTTATATAGTGCAAGACAAAACTATTGGCCGGTATTTTTTCTCATTGGTATCTTAGTAGGGGATATACATTGTTCTAATCGGCAATTCAACAAAAAGATAGTAGAACTAGTCAAAATAGATCTTTTTGAACTTGGTGGAAACTTGACTTTGTTTTCTTGCTCTCAAGAGCTGCTCCTGGTGCTAATCATAATATCAACTGGAGCAAGTGAGTTTAACGTTACATGCAGATTTTTCTGCTATATGCATCCTACAGTGCATCCTACATCGGAACRAAAAGGTTCCGAGCTAGCGCTAATGTGCCAGTGATCATTGTAGTCAGCGGAAAAGCTTACTAAAGATGAAATGGCGGTAAATTCAAGATGAAGAGCGTTCATTGAAGACCCTCACAAAATCATTATGTTGTGGCTTGCACTATATTCTTTCTATTTTTAGGYAATAAGCGGCTCCTTAAGCATAAGACGGGATAAAGTGGGGGAGATTATTGCTTTTTTATATCAATGATGAAGTCTGAAGTTTGTCTACGGGCGGTCTGCGCAGCGTTAGTTGAAACCATGAACTCTTTCGTCGAGCTTCCTATATTTAGCGTTCATACAATTACAATTTTTATATAATAGATCTCAATGTATCTTCTAGCGAATTATAGTTACTTTAAGAATGTACTTCCGTCTATCAATCAATCAATTTTATTCTTCAACAATAACAAAATAGCATAAAAGTGAATTTTTATGATAAACTATACTACCTATACCAAAGTTAGCTAATTTTTTGGGAAAAAACGATGACTTTTAGTTCATATTTAAGCGGACTTTTTGTATCAATAAGAGACTAGGTATCAACAGAATGTCCTATTCTTTGTGCATTTTGGATGAAATATAATCCATTCATCTCAGCTAAGCATTCTGGAAAGCCGGTTCCTGTTTTGACAGCGGGCACGAGACTTTAATTTAAAAAAAGACAAAACAAATTCACAAATACCTTTCTTGGATTTCTTTTGCTCAAGTGAGACCGAATGCTTACTTCTTTGGGGAGGCGGCATTTTTTTAAATTTTCAACTTTCASTTTACCATTGGTCTGTCTGTCCATATGGTAACAATGGATCTGAAATAGGGAAATGCTTGTACTCTAAAGGTGTCCTTGATATCGAAGTGTCGGCTTATTTACACTATGAAACTTGTTGAGCACGACTTGTTGCTATGAAACGTATTTTTCGAAAGCTTGAGTGAAATACGCCGCCMGCGTCGAGGCGTAGAGCCAGTCATCACGATAGGCCTAGGCCTTGTACACTTTGTCGCGCGCATCGTATATATCAGCCTTAGTAAGGAGGTCTCTCTCATGTTCATAGTGTTCATGTCTTTTAAAAGTGTCCATAATGGCTTAACGCTGTTGATTCACAAGACTTACAAGTTTTAGACTTATTATATTACATATTTTGCGCATTATCCTGGCTTACTGCATAATACAGACCTGGATTATCATCATTATTATTGCCTGACGCTGTATAATGCTATAACTAGACACACATGGTGCATAACTTGGG